TATACATTTACTATGCAGTTATCTGTACTGCCTATTAATAAGGGTGATTGCATAAGCCAACGCAGGCAGGATGCAGAACAACCACAAAACCACAGATGAAAGGCAAAGAGCAAATTTAATCTCGATACCTCGCAGACCAGGGGATCTCTGAAGCAGCAACCGTGCAGAAGCGTGCAAGCAGGGGACGCAGGCACTGCGGAGTGAGAGAGTCCTTGTTAGCAAGAGAGTGAGAGCACAGACTTGCTGTTCCTGCCGTATTTCAAGGGTTCAAGCAGGCAGTTTTTCACTCTGCTTTGATCTTCTTCAACAAAGCAGTAGTCGTCTCATGTATGCCAGATAAGGTGTCCCTGAGTCCATCACAGGCTTACGGTATGTAAGTGCAGATGTTCTACTTGTGAGCACATTAAGGCTGAACAATGATTAGTGTGATACATGTGTTCTCCAGTTGCCCAAGTGTGAGTCATTCCTCACCAATCTTCTATTACTTTCCCACAGTGATTATTCTGGTTTTCATTACCTATTGTTTTGGATTGTATGGAGTGAAAGGTTGACACCGAGACTGGATTTGTCTCTCTTTCCCAAAGAGATTTTAAGTGGCGTGTCCCTCTTCATCTGAATGGGATTAAATTGAGTTCTTGAGTTTCAGGCAGATTTGTTAACAAGTCTGAAAATGAATAAAAACTCAAGGAGCTGATCAGTGATTGAATTTAAAATATTTTCCAATACTTCTGTGGGAAAGTTATTTGGAAGTTTGAAATGGTATCTGCAGGATTTTTTAACCTTTGGAAGATTCTTACAGGGCTGGGTGGTGTCATCTGACATGCACCTCCTCATTACACAGCAGCCTTTACAAATAAGCATTTTGTACCATTTACTTCTGGAAAGTTTACATAATGTGGCACAGATGAAAGGGATGTTGTCCTTCAAATAGTTGCAGAAGAGAGGGTAGGATTTTGGAGTTGGGGTTTTGGCACTGACAGTCATTCAACTCTTTTCCTGTTTGGAATAAAAATATTTATTCTAAAGATGTGTGAAGTTAAAATCCTAAAGGCTGTGAGAAACTTAGATAATAGATACATGTAGTTGCAGATGGTTTTATCCAAGAAAAGCAGGTCAGTTGCCAATAGCATCTCATGTAATAAGAGCTTTAGTCTCCTAACTGCTCGTGCAGTGAAGTTGTTCTTTACAGAAATCTACTTCAAATTGATCGGAAGTTTTCATTTCAGTGGAACTGCTTTTATTCATCTTACTTCTGTTGCCAATATAACAGTATGACAAAGTAATTGTCATAAATGTATAATACTCGTGCATCTTTTAATGGTAGCGCTCTATCCACAGAAGTGCCTCTTAGAAAACTTAGTAATAATTACCAAAATAAAATTACGATTTATGTTAATAATAGTGTCTGGCTTAAATTCCTTAAAACAAGCATTTTTTTTCCCCCAAGCTAAATTCTCAAAGTAATCTGGCATGCCTCCAAAGTTTGTAAGCTTCTTAAAGGCTACCTTAGACAACCAACTTGTTAAAAATCCGTATGACGTGTTCTTCTTAGAGTCAATAGAAGGAGAAACCGTGACCTCTCCCTGCACAGTCATTTGATATCTCATTTATCTTGAATAAATCACTGAACATGAAAATAACAGAGTACAAAAATAGGCATTTGTCTTTGTGATAGCTTCAGGTCATCATCCAAAGAACCACGCGCACATACAGGGCTGTTTCTAGAGATCTGTTTGCAGTAAAAAGAAATACATTGCCTCACACCGAATCTTGATATGTTTCTTAAACATAAGGATGGGGTTTAGTCTTTTTACAGCACTTTTCTAAGAAAATGAAGCAAGCAGTATGATGGGATAAAATATTTACTTAAAGAATTTTCTTGAATTATTAGGGATTTCACGTTGCGTTTTCAGCTGTGTGTATGCTTTTCCACATCTCTGACTTCTGGGTAGGCAATGTTAGTAATCGGAGGTACGTTATATAAATGTAATGTCATTACAGTAAGACAATCTATATGTGGGTGCACAGTGTCAGTGTAAATAACCCATATGTATGTATACATGTATAGCCCAAAGTTCCTTCTGTGCTGCATCTGAACAGTTGTTTCTGAAAACAGGGGCTGTGGCTGTATTATTTCCATAGTTGTGTTATTTCTGTAATTGTAACATTCCAGAAAATATTGGCAAAATGTGTTATCTGTTGATTTTTTAGGTTAAAATAATTTGCTAGCCCAAAAAAAGGCATTTTGTCCAAGCAGGATGTATTTTGAATCCATGATATGAATGCAGTTGTTTACGATGAGGCTTGCCATAACTTGAAACCAAAATACCAGGTTATTATGTGATTTCTTCAGTATGAATATTTTTATTATGTTGAAACTTGGTAGACTGCAGCTATGTACCATTCCAGTCAGGCTAAACCTCAATAAGGCATAACTGACAAAAAGTTCTGAGTGCTATTTCTTAAGAAATGTTGACTTTTGAGATATTTAGGGAGTTGAGATGTAAATATTCAAGCTCTTACATGCATTACAAGACATTTTCTCCCAAAGATATACCACAGGGTTTGGTTGTGTTTTCTTTTTTTTTTTTTTTACCTAGATAGCTTACCTATTTTAAAACAGACAGTATTATTTGGATAGCCTTTAAAGAAAAGGCTTAATGAATACATGTAGTTAATCTTAAAACTCTCTGAAGAGCTGAATAAAAATACAATTAATTTTATGTGAGACTTCTGGTTTTCATTTTGAAGTTATGCTTACCGGTTAAAAATTTATGTGGGTGGAAATCAGTCTGACTGATCTGTATATAATGTTCTAGCTGAGAACATGTGAATACAAAGATGACTTAAATTGTCCTGAAGGTGCACATGGTAATTCCTTCTTTGATCAATTTTCCTACTATAACCTAAATGCAGAGGGTTGCATAAATGAAAGGAGGTGTGTAAAATATATGTGTGTATCCCAGGGGGAAAAAAAACCAAAACCAAACACACCCACAAATACTTTCCGTAGCTAGCAGGAGGGAAGGAGTGACACTGGATGCCATGCAATCACCAAGGACGATGACTAGAAATTAGTCTTTCCAGGGGAGCACCGGCACGTAGCAACGATGCACCCTGTATAAAACAGTTTTGTTTTTTTATTGCGGCGTTGCTGAGGTGCGTTACCGAGCGGAGGCAGCCGGAGGTGGTCCTGCATCCCCTCAGTGGCCCCCCTGAAGTGGGGGACACGTTTCCCTGGAGCGTGCACTGGAGCACCCACCAGCCCCCTTCGCTGAGCTGGTTTACCTCGCCGCGGCCAGCAGGCGACTGACTCGGCCCAAACCGAGCCCTTGGCTAACGACCGAGGTAACGCTGCGGTGCCGGGCCGGGGTTTTCGCCGCATTAGCCAGCGGAACGGCGAGAGCGAGGGGTAGGCCGTGAGGGAAACGCTGCCCTTGGATTGAGGAGAGCAGCGCCCTGCGGCCT